AATAGCCCAAGGTACAACTTGTGCCACGTAAACAAAGTACATTTAATACCATTCCTTTTCTGGAGCAGATTCCCTATACGTGATTCACACAATCAAGCTTTCGCAAAGCAATTGATTCATTTTATTAATTGACTGGAAAAAATCGGGCGAATAATAATGCTGGGTGAAGCTTTAATATTAATCTCAGTAATAAAACTTTATAAAATGCTACCCCCGTTAAAGCTGTGCTCTCCAAAGTTCCAATACACATGTAGGAGGTAGTTGACGGGGTGCAACTCGTTGGTCAAGCATGTCCCATCCTTGCTCGATCGGATTCAAGTCAGAAGAGAATGCTGATTGCTGACCACTCTATACCGGTTATATCCTCAGTTTGAAGGCATTCGTTTAGGACGTTTGCTCGGTGAGGCAAGGAGTCGTTATCTATAAACACAAATTATGTGCCCATGGCACCCCTAAACCAGAGTTGGGCATCTATTACAGTAATCGATTACAACTATAATTGATTACAGACAATTGCAGCTATGTAATCAATTATTTTTAATCGTGATTACAGGTAATTGCAATTACAGCTATGTAATCAATTACTTGTAATCGTGATTACAGGTAATTGTGATTACAGGTAATTGTAATTACAAGTAATCATGATTTTTGATTATAGCAGAGTCGGAAAAAAATGTAATAGATTACATTTTTCGATTACAGTAATCAATTACTTACAATCATGATTACAAATTTTGATTACAACTGTAATCGTGATTACAATAATCAATTATAGAAGTCAATTACTTGTATTTATTATTACAGACATTCATTATTTTGATTACAACAGTAATCGTGATTACAATAACTAAGTACATTAATCAATTACTAGTAATCATGATGAGTACAAGCGATCAAAATATATGATTACATGTAATCGTGATTATAAGTAATCATAGTATACGAATACAAGTAAAGATGATTATATACTGTAGATATAATTATATTATACAGAGCAAATAGTCTAAAAGTATTGTATAATGGTACGTTTTGTACGTATTTATATACAACGTATGACTGTAACTAAAATGCATGTACACATGTATTTACATAATGCATATGTAAGTGAATACATATTTACATAAATCTTAATTTCATGCGTACTTATGCATATACTTTTATTGTATTTATAAAATACATGTAAGTTGCGTATGTATATCTAATATTTATATGCGTATGTACATGCAAACAATGCAGACATCTACGCGCGTACGCACCGGAGTTTATATATTTTATGCATATACGTGTAAATTTACTATGTATCCTCATGTTTGTGTGCGTCGTATGTACACAATGTGCTTGCTTTTATTTGTAAGAACAAACATGTATTGTATGTACAATGTATGCCCCATGCATGTATGAAAAATATATGTATAATATATGTATATATATATCTATATATATGTTCTATGCAAGTACAATGCATGTATGTACAGTGTATATTAGTCCCATGCATAATTCTACTATGTATGTATGTCTCATGCACGCATGTAAAATATTTGCATGCGTGTGCAATGTATGTCCCATGTATAAATGTACAATTGCAAGCATGTCCCATTCATGAACATGATCTATTATGTATGTCCCACGCATACATGAACATTGTATATATGACCCATGCATGTATGTATGTTCTATTCGTATACTTACAATGTGTTTAGGTACCGCGCATGCGTCTTTTATGGATGCTTATCCCAAAAACTTAAATAGGATATATGTAAGTCTCATTAATGTGTAACGTATGTATGCCCCATGTATGCGAAATTTATCTTAATTTAATGTCTACTTTGGTGTCAATATTTCTGTTACCCAAATAAAATTCAGCAGCATTTACGATACTATTGTATTCAATAATCATCGATTAGTATAATATTCACGATAATGATGCATCTATGGGAATTATTGAGAGCCGGTGACCTGTGTAAATTAGAATTTGGCACTGTTTTACTTGTTGTCGAACTTGGCCTCATGGTACCAGTAACCGAGAAGATTGATTTTTTTTTTTTTTTTTTTATATATAAAATTTGCGATATTCTAACTTTTTTTTAAATCGTGTTCATGGACAATTAAATGGCCTCGTGTGACTTCAAAACAGCATCCGCTTGCTCCAATAGATCATTACTGTAAAGGATCTCACGAAGTTCTGAAGCCAGTGGCACCATACCCAGTTGTAAAACTGCACTGTCCATGGAAAAGGAGGGTTGCCATAGCCTCGAAAGGTTGGACCTTATTTAAAGAATAATAATATAAAGTTTGAGAAATTAAAATTCGTCATCAAAGGAGGTGTAAACAAATAATTATTAGTAGTAGTAGTTAATATTAAAATGTTTTATTTATTAGAATTTAAGAAATTTAAACACCTCCTTGAAATTTAAATGCCGTTTAGATGAATAAGAATAAGCATATTTATGTTTAACGATACCACTGACGGTGAAATATAATGTTTCTTAAATATTTTATAACTTATGTTAGCCCGTATATTTGTTTCTAACACGCTTTACTTCAGCCCTTCAACTAAGAGTTTAACAATCTTTAAGGATATTTTATTTCTTCTAATGATTTCGTCGGCTTCTAATTTTTAAATATTTTGTAAAAATACTGCTTTCATTGCAGCACACGTTAGTTTTCCTCAATGGTCTATAACAATGGTTTTCATCAATGAAATTTCGTATTTTCAATACTATCAATACTATTTAATATTCTTTTTCTATTAAGTTTTAAATCCAGAATAAATTTTTTTAAAAATATTTGATAAGATTGTTGTAAAAGATTTTATTAGATTAACAAATAATTTCTGAAAATTTGGTAACGGGCTTGGAGAAGACCAGGTGAAGACAGACTTAAAAATATATACAGTATACAGACTAAATAGAGACTAAATATATAAATAAATACAGACTAAAAAGTGTTATAAGAAATTAAAAATTGGTAGAAATATATGATAGCACACAGTACAAAATTTTTTACTTTTAGTTTTTTATGCAATCCCAGATTTTAGAATTACACGTTTATATTACAAATATATATTAATTAAAATGCATGCAATTTTTCTAAATCACCCACATAAAATTTAAAAACAAAATAAATTTTTCATAACTTTTAAGAACTGTCGGCGAAGTAATCACACCACTAATGCAAATTTAATTTATGTCAGATAAATATTTTTATTATAACTATATTTTATAACATCGAGGATTGCATTAAAAACTCTATTTTTCAACCAAACTCTGCATTTCAAAATGGAAAGGAAATATAATTACAATTTTAAACTATTAAAACGTTATAAAAAGTTGAAAATACTTAAAACTTTAAAAATTATAATTTAGGATCTAAGTTTTATATAATGAAAATGAAACTAAAAGAACTCCATAACGTTAATTTATGACTTGATGAATAGTAAATTCATATCATTCTTCAAAGTAATTCATATCATTCTTCAAAGTTTCAACACAGTAGGCAAAAGAAATAGATGATTGCAAGACACTCTGAATAAATTTTGGTGAGGCAAAATTTGATAATGCATATTAAATTATTTTATGTAAATAAATTATTATTAATAATTAATATTATTATTATTAATAATGATCATAATAATTAATAGTTATTATTATAATTAATAATATATTATATTATTATAATATATTATTANGTGTTAAAATATTATAAGCGTTAATTTAAGCAAAAAACGTAAGGCGAAGCACATTTGTTCATTCTGGTTTTAAATTAGCTTTATCACATTCTTAAGAAAACTTTTGTCGCCTAAAAACCTCTTAAAAATTTTCTATTAAGCGCTGTTTAAATAATAGGCAAGTTTGTCATGTTTTTTGTGGGTGGTATTTTAAGCCTCTTCCCCTCTTAAAAAAAATTTACTTTATATGTATATGTGAAAACTTGTATTTTCACATTTAATTTTTTTCCTAATGATTAGAGTTTTTAGAATTAGAAATTTTTTTTTATAGTAAAATAAATTTAGAGTCATACGTAGAAACACCGACAAAACAGACCTATAACCAAGTTAAAAATGAGTAAGTAAATCAATAAATATTGCTCTCATCGCTATTTCTAGAAAGTGTTGTCACCCGCAAGAAAAAAATTAACTTTTGAACACTGTTAGAGAAATGTTTAAGGAACATTTTAATAAGAAAATGTTACTGGTTTGGACATAAAATCTTCCAGTAAGTTTATATAATTTTAAAGAAAATGTATGTAGTTCAGTTTAACGAAAACTATTAACAGAAAAATAACTATTTTTTTTTCCTTTTGCGAATGACAGAAAGGATCGAGCACCCTAGTAATTAATAAATAAATAAACAAATAAATAATTATTTTAGTTCAGAAATATCCTTATTCTCCTTAGGTTATTCTCTTAATTTTTTAAAATATTTAACTATATTTTTATTCATAAAGGGATTATATTCCTCAGTTAAAGTTGGAAGTTTTTTAAACCAGTAATTATTTTTGAAAACTGTAGATCTACCTAATATTTAGATCTAATCAATAATTAATTATTTATTTAATTTTACAGTTGTTTTGTGAAATATTTTATTAAATTTCTAGTGAAAAAAGATTTAATGCTGATATGTATTTTTTTAAAAATTGTAATGTATTGAATGAATTACGGAAAGGATATACATTTATATAAAATTGCATTAGTATTTTCAGTGAATGATATACATACAAAATCGAATAAATACAACAATAAATATATATTGAAATTCAGCAATTTTAAGCGGCTTAAAAGTTCTCAGCAAATATTCCTTGACATCTTTGCATTTTATCAAAAACATTACAGATCCAAATAGGAAAAAAGAGCATTAGTCATTGTAATAAACTACGTCACTATTACGTATTTTGTGATTGCACTGCACAAACTAAATTAAGGCAATACGGCGGAGTTTAAACGAAATCCCGATTTTTATTTTTCTACCGAAAACGAGAAATTCAATTGTAACAACACGCACTAATCGTTCGGAAAGAATATCAAATAAAGAATTAAAAAGATAACATTAAATATTCTGCCAATTGTGGAAAAAAACTACAATATTTTGGCGACAGTTTCCGAAGGTTTATTTTTTACGTAGCATCTGGCAAACCTTTTCTCTTTCGTTCTAAATCAACAGATCGCTGCTAGTCACGAGTTGAGTTGGTGATATAAGGTGTACCGAGAAGAGAAGCTACAAGAGTGAAATTTCGGTAGGTGTGTCATATTTTTTTTTAACCATACCTGTCAACTTTATAATTCGACTGTTTTTGGACTTTAATCTTTCGAAACAATAAATATCAATCAACCGTGGGCCGACTCCTCTTTTCCATTTGGATATTTTAAATTGGCAGACGATTTTTTAGTGCCTTAAAAAGTAAGTATATATTAAGTTGTTCACAATTTGAATTATATTCTTTAAATTTGATTCGCTGAAATAATCCTAATACGTTATGTGCCAGATGATTATATTTATTTTTAAAAAAATATTTATTAATGTTTTTTCTTTTTTTTTTTTAACTGTAATTCTTTCTGAAATTAATAATTGTCATTTTTTAAATAATTGTTATTTTTTGAAAATTAAAAATCAATAAATTACAGCCAAGGTATTGATTGGTATTGATTAATTAGTTTATAATCGTTGTTGTTTTGCATTTTTTTAACTTTTAACTTCACAAAAAAAATTTGAAAAATGATGTAGTTTTAACTGTGTTGCAAGTGCGATATTTCTGGTATGCATCAACAATTTTTGTTTATTTTTATTTATATTAGTCAAAGTACAACAATTGATTTATTTTTACTTACAAAAACTCAATTGCGTTCTTAAAACTTACACAACAATTAATTATCTACCACCTTTTTTTGATCTTTAAAATATATTTAGTTTTTTCTATTAACTTGTTATTTACGTACCTCAAAATTACTACAAGTCAATTGAGCAAATGAGTTATATTTTCTAAATTTTGAATATATTTGAGATTCAAAATCCTATGGTTACAGATATTTTAACTCTATTTTTATATGTTTTCATTTCAAGAACCGCTTTCGCGATTAACGATTACGAAGTGATTTTCATCGACTTATTTAAGGAATGAGTGTCCTAAAATGGGTCTTCTTTCCTCTTAAATGTCATTCAATACAATTTATAGGAACTGATGAATTATATGCAACAAACAATAAACTAATCATTTTTATAATGTTATAACACTACACTTTCTTTAATAATTATTATTTATGATCTTTATATTATTATTTCAAAGCACATATTTATAGCGAGTTAATCTGCTTTTTTCTATCTTAGAGGGGTATACAATACATATTGCCCTACCATACCTTGTACTATACATATTTAACGTACGATTTGGTGCAAATCTCATCATAAAGTACCTTTTTGAACTCAACAATAAAGACATATTTGGTAAAAAAAAAGTTTTATAAATCCCTATCTAAATACATCTAGTAACGTCCGCAAATTTTGACCTTTAACTGACATATAATCTGAAGCTCCAAAAGCCACTGACACAATTAATCATGACACATTGGTACTGTATTTATATCTCACCCATGATTGTAAGTAACACGGTTTTATGTCTTTGACCTTGGATAAGTTATGCCGCATTCAAGTTTAGCGCAGTAGAGCCGCTACTGGCCTTAGTGCTGTTAAGCTATACATCCAATCGATTAAACCTTTTTGACATTCAGTTCACAAACTGGACCAAAAGTATCGCTCGAAAATAACGCGAACGAAATTGATAAGTATCTTTCTGTTCGGATGCTAAAATAACAATGGGCAAATTTAATAAGATGCAAAATTTATTTATATACGTCATCTAGTGTTCTCTCAACTAGTGTTAAAATATTATAAGCGTTAATTTAAGCAAAAAACGTAAGGCGAAGCACATTTGTTCATTCTGGTTTTAAATTAGCTTTATCACATTCTTAAGAAAACTTTTGTCGCCTAAAAACCTCTTAAAAATTTTCTATTAAGCGCTGTTTAAATAATAGGCAAGTTTGTCATGTTTTTTGTGGGTGGTATTTTAAGCCTCTTCCCCTCTTAAAAAAAATTTACTTTATATGTATATGTGAAAACTTGTATTTTCACATTTAATTTTTTTCCTAATGATTAGAGTTTTTAGAATTAGAAATTTTTTTTTATAGTAAAATAAATTTAGAGTCATACGTAGAAACACCGACAAAACAGACCTATAACCAAGTTAAAAATGAGTAAGTAAATCAATAAATATTGCTCTCATCGCTATTTCTAGAAAGTGTTGTCACCCGCAAGAAAAAAATTAACTTTTGAACACTGTTAGAGAAATGTTTAAGGAACATTTTAATAAGAAAATGTTACTGGTTTGGACATAAAATCTTCCAGTAAGTTTATATAATTTTAAAGAAAATGTATGTAGTTCAGTTTAACGAAAACTATTAACAGAAAAATAACTATTTTTTTTTCCTTTTGCGAATGACAGAAAGGATCGAGCACCCTAGTAATTAATAAATAAATAAACAAATAAATAATTATTTTAGTTCAGAAATATCCTTATTCTCCTTAGGTTATTCTCTTAATTTTTTAAAATATTTAACTATATTTTTATTCATAAAGGGATTATATTCCTCAGTTAAAGTTGGAAGTTTTTTAAACCAGTAATTATTTTTGAAAACTGTAGATCTACCTAATATTTAGATCTAATCAATAATTAATTATTTATTTAATTTTACAGTTGTTTTGTGAAATATTTTATTAAATTTCTAGTGAAAAAAGATTTAATGCTGATATGTATTTTTTTAAAAATTGTAATGTATTGAATGAATTACGGAAAGGATATACATTTATATAAAATTGCATTAGTATTTTCAGTGAATGATATACATACAAAATCGAATAAATACAACAATAAAGAGATATATTTCTTTGGTAACCTTTTTCAACATTTATAACAAATTCTTTCATTTGCATTTCAAAGAAACGATAATTGTGCTTATGTTAATGTAATTTTCAGCTTATTTATTTACTTAATATTATTTGTTACTTGTGTTACAAAAACTAATTTAGTTTTTTTTGTACTGTTTGTCGGTAATAATCTTAATAATCTCTGATTTACTTTTAATTTATATGAAATCAATACACGATTACTTTTCTACTGTCCTAAATAAGGTGCTTTCTTAGAAAGCTTTGTCTTTATTGGAAAACCTATCCGTCTTTTTGAAACTTCCGTTCTATTTGGAATCGCACGCATCTCCTCGTCATTAGACCTTCACATTTTGAGAAGAAATGTTATGCATCAGAAAATCTGTTGTGTTATTTACATTGTAACGTTAACCTTTAAGGAACAATGATACGCCTTTTAAATTTCATTTACTTTTTTTTAACAATTACGGATTAATGCTCAAAAGCTTTAATTTATATGTAGACGTTGTTTCTAAGTCGTTGCCAAGACTACTAGCAAAATTATTGACTTTTAAGTAGAATTATAATTATTCTGAAGAATAAGACTCTTTTTCTTTCCTCTTTCGCTATTTTTTTTATTCTTAAGAAATAGAGTTAAGTATTTTATGTTCATATTTGTATTCTTTTTCTGGCAACTTTACAGCAGAAAATCTTTACTGCGATTGCAATCCTATTTTAATGTACTTAATAATAATATACAAAAAATAAATATCATTATTCTTTACAAAAAAAAAAATCTAATGCTCTAGAAATATAGATTTCCATATTTCGTATGGATATATGTTAAAACTTGCGTGAGTTTATGTCATATTATTTGGGGATTGTAACATTTTTTTCTTGAATGTTTTATACAACAGATTTGTATAAATAGTGATTCTAATTTTGACGGGAAAAAAAATAAATGCATCAATTTTTTAGTTTGTTTTAGTTGTACATTGAACTATTCGTATTATGTGTCAAAATCTACTTTTATAATTGAGTAAAACAAGCTGACATTGTGATTCTGAAAAGTTTACAAAATATTATTTTTAACCCTTTTTCTATTAAAAAGTTTTAAAAAAATTTTGGACTTTTCTAAATTTCTAAAATATTGTATTTTTCGAAAAATAAATAAATAAAATAAGTAAGGAAAGAAAGAAAACTTAAAAATTTTTTTTTTTTATTTTGTTTTAATTTATTTTTATTGCTAAGAAAGACCTTAACAGAACAATATAAAAAATATATATTTTATCGAAATGACTAATACTTTCAAAAATAATGTAAAATATTGGGAAAAAAACTCTTTGTTAAAAATTATTAAGTTTAGTTAAAAGCCCCGACTAAATAACAATCTAGTTGCCTAAGATATGATACTGATACTATTGATAAATAAACTGAATAAAAGTTGCAAAAATAAACGTTTCTTATATTTTAAACGAAAAAGAAAAAAAAAACTCTTGCAAAAGTATTAAAAATATAACATTTATTTCAAGTATAAATTTCTTACCTATATGATATATACCCACGTTAATTAGTAATCAGGGTGATTTTTATTTACGCAACTTAAATGTGCAGTCTGTTGCTTAAATCCCAGTAAAAAGGCGCATTAATTGAACTTCTTTATTGAATTAAAAGAAATCTCTCTAAAAAAATTTTTTAATATTAAATTTCAAAATAAACTTTTTTGTCCTACATTCTAGTGTAATCACAAATTTGTCACTACTTTTAATTTTCCTATTTTAGTAGGTTGTCATTGTATTACAATAAACCCTACATATGCTATAATTTTTATTTATTTTTTTTCTGCTGATCTGTATCATTTTTATTATGCAAGAAATGTTATATGCAACTCATGCGATTGTGGAGAAATGGACGATTCGTTACTGTAGTGTTCAAAATTGTTATAAATTGATGATTTCAAGAATTTTTGCCTCAGAAGAAATATATCCTGTCTGTTAAAAGTAATTGGAAAATAAATACCATCCTTTGCTGATAAATTATTTTGCGTGATAAAGCATATAATGTAATAAAAGGAAAGCTAAAAGCTGGATGATAATGCAACTCTTTTAAAAGAACTGCTCTGTCGAGCAAAATGTATTAATTCATAGGAAATGTGCGGCATACTATCTGGGGAAAAGGTTAACTGAAAAAAAAAATGGAGCTCGTTAAAAGTAATGAAATGTAAATACGTTGCTATATAAATAGATAATAAGGACAAATAGAAAACAATTACAATTATGAAATTAGAAAATTAATATTTGAAAATTGAAAATAAATCTATGTATTTAAAAGAAAAAATGAATATTTTAAGAATAAAATAATATTAAAAAAAATTAATATTTTCAACTATAATGTAAATTTTGAACGATAAATTGTTAAATAACAAACGGAAAAGGTTAAGTAAACCTCTGATGTATACCCCATAAACAACCCTTGGAATTGGAACA